GTTCTGAGATAAAGAATGCAACTTAAATGTCATTAAATTTTTTTTGGCACATCATGGCATAATGCTATATATCATGAACCTCAGGAAAGGCATTTTCTATGCAAGGAAACCATGATATCTAAACAACAGTTCTGGGACATACTGGCATGACAAGAAGGCATGCTACCAAATACATTAAAAGTATAATTATATGGTAATGAGTATGTACCATTTAACATAGTAGCATTTTCAGGCCCAAACTTAGTAAGTACATCTATATGTCTGACATGTTCTGATATTCTCTGATGAGTAGTAAGAGTCCTGCTTTGATGGTTAAATCAACAGAAGTCATATCAAGAAGAATGTTAGATTGTTGATAGTGAAAATTACTGTGGTTAAAGGCTAGATATGGGTCGGGACTGACAGCACAAAACATACTTAAAGAAGGGCACCTCTTAGAAAGGGGCTATGTTGTGGTCATGGGTTCAATCCCTACTCCCAAAAGTACAAAAAGGCAAAATGTAGAGCTTTTCTATAGATATATTTATATACAAGATTCAAAACTTATACACATGCAATTGAAACGCAGTGACTACAGTGCCTTTACAGTGGAGTGAGACCTACACGCAGTGTCCACTATGTGCTTCACAACAGGACTGAGAAATGTGTGGACAATGCAGTGCATCAAAGCCGGAGCACATCACTTCATATCTGAAACTTCATCAACATGAATTAAAAACTGAGTATTTCTGAAATCAAAGGGGGAAAATATACTGCTCTATTTATACAGATAAAAACAGAGCACTACCACTATACATTCATGTCACAATTACATGAGAACACAAAGCATCAACTGAAAGCTATTAGATGAATAGCAACAAAAAATCTACCTAAACAGATAGAACTGTCACTGCACATTTGGTATAGTATAAATGATATACATACTTGCAAACATGAACTGAAATATCTGAAACAGTAACACTTTAAAACTGTACAAAGTGTGATCGAAACATTTCAAGACTACCATGTTAGAATAGAATTTCTCTGAAAGATGACATTAAAATAACATCTGCTAGATCAGATTATATTACTCTTGAAGCAGTAAGATGTGTCATCAAAAGCAACGTTGGTGATTCAACTTCAGAAGTGATAAAACATGAAGGTCATATGTGTTGCCATCTGCAGATTTAATGTGTGTTTAAATGACAGACTTTAAAGAACACAGTGTGTGCATCAAGTTCTATTTCAAAGAGACAAAAAATACTTTTTAAACCTAACTACATGGAACAGAGTCCTTGAGAAGCTATTAGTCACTCAGCTAGCCAAGAAATTTCCTAAATTTTATGAAACATGAAATCTCATTATCACATTCACAACAGCCTGAGCCAGATTAGTCCACCTACTCAATTTTTTATGATCCAATATTATCCTCCCACCTAAGCCTAGATCCTTTGAGCTGTCTCTTCCCTTTAAGCTTTCCAACCAAAATAGTGTTATGCATTTTTCATATCCCCCCCACACAATATGTACCCCATACATCTCATCCTTAATTTGGTCATCTTAACAATAACTGGAGAAAAAATCAGCCTCCTTTACTCAATCCCTCTTAGATCCAAATATTCCTCCCAAAACCCTCTTTTGAAATATCCCCAATCTGTATTCTCTCCTTGATGTGAGAGATCAAGTTTTACACCCACAAAAAAGTAAAATTAGTTTTGTATATTTTAATCCTACATTTTTATATAGCAGTCTTTGGAGAGGAAACAACAAGAACTCTAAACATCTGAGTAGTTTTCAAAGTTATAAAGTGTAATGCGTTCTGCTGAGATGCTGAATATACTTGACACTTATAAAATTGTACATCAAGAATTCATTTTGCAGACACAAATTATCAATCAACTGTTTACACAGATATTGTGGCATTTACATTAAAATACATGGCAGAATTCCCTGAAAAATAGTGCACTACAAACTTGTTTCTCCAGTACACAATTTTCTTGCTCACTGTGTTTTGTTTGTGCTGGGCTTACTGAACAGAAACCAGATAACTATTGTCCCCACCCTTCATAGTCCCCATATCTAGGTCTCAATGAGTTTCTTCTGTTTCCAAAACCTTTTAGTGATCAAGGGGAAGATCCTTAATGATATCATAATCAAAGAAAAATCACAGACTGAAAACATGGGTATCAATACATATTTCTGGTAATGGCAGAATTGCAGTATTTAATGCATCAAGAAACAAGAAATCGGTTTTGGTGGGGAAAGCCACAAAATGAGGGAAGTATACAAAAAATTCAGTCTGACAATATTTTGATCACACAACATACAAGGAAAACTAAATCTTGCAATTATCAAATACTTGAAATTGACATACCTACTGATGGTTATTATGAGAGAAGGATCAGGGCACCTAACAATTATAATAATTTAATTCCAAATACTACACTAAGATGGTTAGTGAGGGCGTGTGAAATGACCATCAGTTGTGTTGAGTCGCCGTGAACCATGAACAGGTGATGCAGAAGGTGATGACGGTACTGGGAACTGATCCACTTTCAGCCGGTTATTGAGAAAATCACGAATGTGCTGCACAATCAGATCAATGGCAACTGCAACATACCGATTTGGTGATTCATCTATTAACAGTATGCATTAATTAATTTACATAACTGAATTTTTTCATTATAAATATAAAGTTTTCCATTTACTGACATACAGTCACAGTCACCACATAAACAGAACACTTGTCCATCTGAAAAACAGATGTTTGCAGTTTCTCCCCTCAAGCAACCAATGCTTGCACAGAATGCCTGAGGAGTTACTTCATACTACCTCAGAATTAGAGCAGAACTGTACCAAAAACAGATCAAGTGACAGGAAACATATACCCTTACAGTACAAAGTACAGAAATTAATTTTTAAGTGAAAGAATTATTTCAACTAACCCAATCAAGTTTCTGAGACTAATGCAAGCCACCTTATGAACATATGATTAACTGCAGTAATCAAAACTCCATTGACATTACTGAAAAGGTAACTTAATTCATACACATGAAAAGAGTACAAAGAATACAATATGCATGAAATTCTATTCTTTTACAAACAGATTTATATGCATCACTTGAACACAGTTTAACAGAAATCCCACAGATGAGATGAGATTGTAATTAATGGAAGGTAAAGAAAAGCCACATGTGGATAAATACAGGGAAATTACAAATGACAGGAATTATGATACCAGTTGTACATTTACTTCATTTCTGGTTGAAGCTAGAAAATTCTACAGCACTTGATTATTGTTACACAGTATACATATACCCTGTGGCCAGCTGAGTTATCTGGATTGTACAAAATTAGCAAATATTCTGACCTACCATGTACTGATTAAATTGTTTCAGGAATGTATAACAGGCCTAAATGGAAGCATTTCAGATTATAGAACTTGTTCAAGACTTACTGATCTACATGGACATTTTCTGGGCTCCTGTACTAAAGATCTTCCAGTTCTTAATAAACTAGCCCACAGTGATAAATATCATCAGTCATCAGAGTATTGAAATAATACAACATGAGAACAAAATATTATTATCTCATCATCATTTACTACATGATAATGCCTGAAAATGCATTGGTATGGTAACCCAAACATAAACAGACACACCCAAGCCTTTTTACATTGAATACTATCACCACAAGATTAACATTATAGCATAATTTCACAGTTTTTATAAGTATGACCACAACACTTTTATTTTTTTGGACATCAAGGAAACATTACTTTTTGAATGAATGAGTGTCATACACTTCCGCAGACGCTTCTCTATTCATTCACAGTTTCAGTAACCAGAATTATAAATAAAGAGTTGGATATCTCCACATTTTGATCACATTTAATGAAAGAAAGAAACATTAATAAAATGTATAACTATAATATGTCACATCCTAAATCTAGATACCAATTTGATAAGTGTCACTTGCAAATAACATACTTTTCTCATATTATTTTGAAAATAGCATCTTTAAGAAAAAGTTAATCTTTCATACATATATGTTTACAATGAACACTGAAGGTACTGTTTAACACAATATTAACAGAGCCAAAAATTAAAATAACAAATGCACACTTTAATCAGATGTTCCTATGCCAGACACAGAAGAATAATTCATTGGTCAAAAAAAACAATGTCCCATATTTGTAAGAGATTCTAAACATGGAAATTAACTCAGAAAAAGAATGCATTGAAGACATGTGTAACTCATATTTCCAGCTGAGTCCTAGATTTTTAGGTGCTATTTGCACTTCAGCAAAGAAAACCTTATGGGTCCTTTGATATCAGTGCTGAAATTGTTACTCCCTTGGTTTCCCTACCAATGGTATTATCCACGATGTAATGAAAAGAACACCTATGAAACTTTGACGCACTCCAAATACTATACCTTTCCAATCACATCATCAACAGCACAAAATTATTTAAAAATTTATGAAAAAGCTACAAAACATGTTTTCCTTTATTAAGCTTGAGAAATAATTCATGAAGCTCTAAAAAGTACCATTTATCCTACAGAGTAAATGCACAAATTATGTAATCTCTCTCTTTATCTTCTAAAACATGCCTGAAATAATTTTTAAATACTAGGGCAGAACGCTCCTTTCGGAGCTCCTCGGAGGGAGTGGTCAAGTTTTTAAAAAGCAACCAATCCCTTCGGGGGGGTTGGTTGCGTTTTAAAATCTTGTGTAAGAAACTAAACTAAACCGCCCGAATGGAGGGTTAAAACACTTGACCAACCCCTCCTTCGGGGGGGGTTGGTTGCGTTTTAACATCTTGAGTAAGAAACTAAACCCCAAGTCATTTGTTTACTCGGCATTGTTGTGCCAACACAACA